AAGTTCATTGATATAATATAATTTTGAAATGAAAATAATTGTTTCAAATATTTTTATCTTTGAAATTAAGTATTATATTTGTTGTTCATTGAAAATTCTATTTAATTATAGTGTATATTCTATTGTTAAATTATAAAGAATCGCAAAAGCTGATATTATTGTCACGTTTTCGGCTGTGTTTAAAAACAAATATGTCTGATATTGGATGATGAGTATTGTTGCAGGAATGTGTTAAACCTATTTTCAGACACATCACGCAATTAATAATGTCTCCTAGTTTTGTTCACATTCATTTATTTTTAGATTGTTAAGCGAACACCTTTTTTTGAAGAGAAATTATTCTTGCTGAACTAATCATAAGAAGAAAAAAATAAATTTTAACACTTTTCATACGTATGAAAAGTAATGTAATCATACGATTCCATGTCCATCGAAGTTTAAGGACACTTTTGCTTCCTAAAATAATATTAAATAAAAGTGCTATTATATGTACGTTTTAGTGGACATTTTCTATTCTCTTTAATAAGTGAAAAGGCATAACGATTAACACGCATATTTCGTGATTGATACATATTGGCATACTTGCTGTATTAATAATCTATCTTATTTTACTTGTTTCCAGTTTATTTGTTCAGCAGTGATATCTAACTTATTTCCAAGATCCAGACACCTCTCACTTTCAACACCAATATGTTTACGTATTGCACCTATATTTATGGCAGTAGAGTATGAAGAATCAGAAATCTCATTTATAGTATTTTTCAAAAAATGCTTTATTTCCATTATTTTTTCGTGGAGGCAGTGTTTTCATGCACAAAAAGAAATGTACTAACGGGTGATTGGAATTTTTTTTCGGCAAGATGTTTGTTCACTTCTGACGTATTTCCAATGCGCTAAGAGATATAAGTTACGATGCTCTTTTGGAATATAGGATTAGAAATTTTGTTTCAGTTTTTGTTTGAGAGAAGTGAAACAACCTTTGAAAAGTCTAAAAAAATGATTTGAGTAGTACTTGTGTGCCGACATTTCCGGTGAATATGTTTGTTCATTTTGACTTGTTTGAGAGCACTTTAGACGAACCAAAAATAAGTTGTAATCAGGATTTGAATATGGACTTACCAATATTGTGTCTAATTTTGTTTAAGAGTAGTGAGAAAGTTTTAGAAAGATCTGAAAAAATTATTTTTAAATATGAACCAACAGGTTCTTGCTTACCCTTGATGTCATTTTTTGAATATAATAAAAATTGTCCGAGTGAGTCGTTTCAGAGAGTGGATAATTCTTCAGAAAATGTGACGTTGGACTACGCTGTAGCTTTTACCTAAGTATTTTTTTAAGATTTCCTTTCAAAATAAAACAGTTGTCGATTTCTCAAAAATGAATATTTAGGATAACCGAAAAATTGATGTTAAAAGTGAACTCACGTCTTGTCTAACAACTTTTCGATTACTTGTTACAAAAGACTTGATTCTCTTAATATTATGGAGTATCACATGATGATTATATGTACGCGATTAGTAATCTTTCAGAGACTTTTAGAGAATGTGTTATACGGCTTGTCCAAACGTAACGCTGTTACGTTTTTGACACACTCTTCTTCAACTATCTCGAAAAGTTTAAGAGCTAGGAAGTTCGTTCAAACGTCATTCGACGCAGCTTATCGAACTTTATTTATCGTATAAAAATGGCCTTTTTTGACTGAAGTCTCAGGCATCTAGAAAGGTTTTAGCATGGCGTAACGCTGTTACATAAACGGACCCTTTTTTTCCAGTGCCGCCAAGAAAACTCTAAATTCTTGCGAAACCATTTCTTCAAATGTAATGCTCCGAGAGTCATTTTTGTAGAGCATTGAATAGGCTTTCAGGCAGTAAAAATGATTTTCTCTAAAACATTTTTGCTCAGATAAAAAATGCAAAAAACAAACGTAACGCTGTTACGTTTTTCGTAACGCTGTTACACAGTTTTTTGTTGACCAATTTGAGGCACTTAATGTACTCAGAATGACTTGATTTTTATAAGTGTTACTGTTTTCTATGTAGACAATCCCCTGTGCAAAAATGAGATTGATACATCGATCTGAGAGCTCATAAACTGAGCAGGAAGTTCGGAATTATATCGAAGTCTCCAATTTGTTCTAAGCTGCCAAAGTCAAAACTAAATAGACCATTTTGTAGAGAATTTTATTCTGCATCGAATGGTATGTCTCTTGACCTTTGTTGAAAAAATTTCTTGGTTAAAAAATCCAAAATACAGTTTTTGAAAACTTTAAAATCCAGTTTTCGATCTCAAAATCTGATTTTTATACAAAATTAATACCAAATTCGTAATCAGCGTAAAAAACTGCATCTAGTACCCCACTGAGATCTGTCCAATTCGGAAAAAAATTTTTTCAAAACTTGATCAGCGAAGTGTCGCGTTACGCGGACAAGCCGTATACTTATATTTTAAAGTCATGAACATTTATATGACAGAATATAAATTTAGAAGTTGTTTAGAGCAACAATAAAATTGGTTCATTAGAAATAATAAAATGTTTAGGAATTACTGGTTATTTGAAGAGTAGATCATAAAATATATGGTTAATATCGTTTGAATAAGTAAAGCAATTCATATGATATTTGTATAAGTTGGTTTTTAGTTACTTGAAGTCTTATTTAACGTTATTACAATTGAGTTTTTGTTTCTCAATCATCATTTCAACTGAAGATAGTTTTCTCTAACTGCGTTTTTCCATGTGTAACAATAATAAATATCTATTAGGTTCGAAACGGTTCTCTGTTATTTTATCGGTATATAGCCATTGACTCATTCAGCAACCAGTTGTCTTTTTTCGTCTGTTTTTGAAGAGAATAGACAAAGATCGTTAGATATTTTTACATACATGAAAGAATTTCAGCTAGTGTATGCTTCGATAAAGAATAGCTTTTTACTCCAAAATATATGACACACATTCATTTGAAACCATGCGGATCGATAAATGAGCACATTTTTTTATATGAATAAAAAACTATCCTTATGGTCTTATAATAATAACATTATTGTACAAAAATCGATAAAAAATAGATGATATTAGATGATGTGCAACATGACATTATTTTTTTTTTAATTTGTATTTCATTCATATGCAGTTAATGAGTGACATACAAAAAAGCATATACTAATATTGATTTACGTATTTATTTTTGTGAAACACGATCTAATAGGAGTATTGAAGTCTACAGAGTAGAATTTTGCATTCGTCAGTACAGAACGAGACAGACTTTATTGATATACGATCATAAATCGTCGAAGAATAACGTCTGGTTAAATTATTTCCTTATTGTCTATCTGAAGGAATAAGTAAAAGGATACTGAAGATATGTATCCCAAGATAAGCAAAATAAAACAATCTCCTTGTATTGAGCAACAGCACCTAGGTTATGTTGCACATTTTAATCCCACGGGAATTATGCTAACAATTTTTTTTCTATAAAAATCAAAGTAAAGATCGAGTAGCTTCCGCTCAAAATCGTGAAAAATTACATATGAAATTTAGTATAAAATTCAAACTTAATCTTTAATCGTGTGATTATTGAAAAGATTATTTCAAAAATGAAATTATAGAACTATAATCGGTTTTAGAAGTGAAAGCACTCGACTGCTTTTGAATAACTTTTGATAGAAAGCAGATAGAGATCTACGACTTTCAGTATTTAATAGTCAAGATTCCGAAACATATTTTCATAAGCAAAATTTGTTCTGAACAAAGCCAGAAAATGGATTTTTCAGATAGACTCTTGAAAATCACGCTAGATTTCAGAAAACTTTCATAACGGCCTATTGATTTTTCTTTACATATTTGGAATCAGCATTGAAAACTGAGTCGACTCATGTATGTTTCGCATCTTTTGATGAACTTTTTTTCCGTCAAGAAATTCATCTTCCGCCCCTATGAGAGGTAGCTCAAAAGACAAACTCAGCCAAAAACTCACTTAGACAGTATGAAGTAACTTTGGAGTTTGTAAAATGTTAATAGATCATAAAATGGCAAATGAACAAACAATAAAAGTGGCGTTTTGACTGAGTTTACTTTTTGACGGAAAAAAAAGTTCATCAAAAGATTCGAAAGATACATGAGTCGACTCAGCTTTCGATGCTAATTCCAAATATGTTAAAAGACAATCACTACTCGCTTATGACAATTTTCAGAAATCTAGTGCCATTTTCCAGAGACTCACTGCAAAATCAGTTATTGAACTTTATTTTTTACAAAAGATTTTGCTTATGGAAATATGCTTCTGGATCATGATCATCAAATGCTGAAAACTGCACGTCTCTATCGTCTTCCTATCAAAAGTTATTCAAAAAAAACAACAGACTGCCTTAACTTCTGAAACCGATAATAGCTCATTACTTTATACTAACAAATTATTGAAGCTCATTTTTACTACTTTTTACGATGCGACAAAAATTTTGAAGAAACATTAAATAATTATATATAAGCGTTTCGATAAAGTATTTTGACACAAATAAAATGCTAATCTAATCAATGGAAATTTCCTTCCTATTATAAAAGTTTGACGTATATTTTAATAATGCATACTACTCTTAATATTAGATGATTTAATTAAAGTATTCAATAACGTTTTGAACTGAACCATTCTTTCTTGTTTTTATATCAGAAAATTATCATAGTATCTTAAAATGTTGAATTGTTCACGGTGTTTGTTAGTTTCTCATCATCAATTATTATCCGTTAAGGAAACATGATATCAACTACCTAATATTACCATTGGTGCGACAATCGTTGCGGAAAAAATATTCGTCTCGTCTTTCATCATTATTATGATGTTCCTGACAAAAAGACAGGAAACTATATCTAACAACATTTTTTTTTCTCTTTTGTATTCATAGGCTAATATTGAAAAACAAATCCATAAAGTCATAAGCATATATTCCTACACAAGTTAACAGAAAAATCAAAAAAAGATTTTAATCAACATCAACAAGAAGTCAAAACGATGCAGCATGATTCAAGTGAAATAATTTATAATAACCAATCTAATTTCCTTGACAATCGATATTCACTGACGAATCCACCATCATATGAAACATATGCTTATCAGTAATTAACATAGTTTCTTTGACAATAATGATTATCTATCTGTTTTTTAGACCATATCCAGGACCACCACCATGCTCACCAGATTCTAAACAATCAATCAACAATACTGAGCATACAGTATCGAGTGCACAATACTATGGTCATGTTCTATTACATCCACAAAATAGTATTCTGGTTGTACCTGCTCATCATATATTAATGAACAATCGAAGTGTAACAACAATCACTTTACAACTTCGAGTATTTTTTATTCTTTCTGGTATTGCTTATTTACTATGGGGTGCATTAGCAATTGGTTTAGAAATCTCTCTTCTTCTTTATTCTTATTCAATATATTATCGAGGCATATTTTTAGGTTTTGTTATGTTAGGCACATCAATTAGCATGTTAATTATTGCATTTCAAATATCTCATTTGATGATTTATATGGTACGGTTATTGTTTTTTCTTGTAATTTTTTCTTTGCTTGGAATCATTTTATCTGTTGCTGATGTGTGTCTATTACAAAAATGTGTCAATTCTGTGAGCGAGGACTTGTGTGATGCACCAATTGGATATACATTAAAAGTGATTATTTTAATCAAGTTTTTTATTGTGACAATTCAAACTGGAATCAATCTATTGATTGTTCGACGTGTAAAAAAGAAATCGACATCAATGCCACCTGTTGCAAACACTTCAGACCATCAATATTAAACATACCACTTAAACAACGAATTATCAAATAGAAAAAAACTAATAATTCTTTCTCTTTATTTTTTTTTTTCGTCATACTAATATTATATCCATTTCTTGATAAATGCATAGTTAAAAAAGAATGATTTTTAACTTCATTAATCATAAACGGATATTCCAATATGTGCTTGTTGTTTGTTATAATGTAATCTAATGTATGCTTTAGAAGAATAACATTCTCTTAAAAATAAATATCAACTTTTCTGCTTGTTTTCAATGATGTAAATAATTATCGTTTTCTGATAATAAAAATTTTTCACAATTGTGTTTTTTCTTTGTTAAATATCAATCAAAAATATATTAACTCTCACATAAATGTTTTTATTGTCTGGTTCCAAGGTATCTTTAAAAGCAACAAAATATAGAATTTACCTGTTAATTGAGAAAATAAATTTATGGAACAAAAGGGAACGTAACGCCCTCCTTTTTTTTGTCTTCTATGGCTGTCACTTGTATGCTTTATCACTTAAATCAATGTTTACTCTATTCTAATTTTCATTTTTATTATGATCTTATGGCAAAAACTTTTGACAAACAAAATACTCTTTTATTGATATTTCAAAAATAAGTGAAAATCTTCTAAAGTCTAAAATGTATATATTATTTTGTTAAATGCAAAGTCATTCATTGTAAACATGTCTCCTGTGCAATGTACACTTCTGTTCTGCGTTTGCGAACATTAGACAAACTCGCTCTTAAAGATTTTCGTCTTTGTTATCTTTGTTGTTTTTAAACACCGATAGAAGTTGGTCTTGTTCTTTATTTTGAAAAAAAAACAACCTTTAACATGTAAATCAAAAGATAAAAAAATTAAATAAAAATGATTTTTCATTTTATTCAAATATTGTTAATATTTTTTGTATCGAATATTGTCTTTGCTGATGATTGTCCACCATCATTTAATATTCAAACAAATACAACAGATATATCTTTTCAAACATCACCGACTCTTCTTATTATTTTATCAAAATTTTCATACAAATTAACTATAATCGACCTACTAACACAAACAATTTTACTTCAAAGTAGTAAAGATATTTTTGCGGGAATCTGGGATGGTGCTTATGAAACTCTGTATTTTGGTTATATGTTTCGTGTTGGTTATGAGAGAGAACATAGAATAATAGGAGCTTTAAAATCATATTCATGTTCATCGTCTTCCAATTCAATTACATTTTCTTATAATGATTTTTATTTAACATTTATTCAACAAGAAGATGATCGTAATATAAATTTACAAATTGAATATACGGGATTTAACGAACACTTTGATGCAAAACCTTCGCATTATGTTTTTCCATTTTTAATATTATCATTCAAAACCCGAGATATTAATGAAGACTATTATGGTTTTGGTTCATATTGGGGTTTTACGAGATTTCGTGGACAAAAATTATATTGTTGGAGTGAAGATGGTAGTTGGTCATTTTTAAATATTTCTACACGAATTCCACAAGCCAATGCAACTTATATACCAATGCCACTTTTTATTTCAAATCGTCAATATGCCGTTTGGGTAAATGAAACTCGACGAGTTAATTTCGATTTAAGTTCACCTAATGAATGGATTATAACAACAGAATGGAATAGAACAAATATACAATTTTATTTTCCAATAAAAAATTCATTTCTATCAAAACCTAAAATGTCAAAACCATTTGAAAAATTTTTCAATCTTTATAAAAAACAAAATCGAAAAATTAATCCATCATTTACAGCATTAATTCAAGCTCGTGGTGAAACAACTCGTATACCACCATTATTTGCATTTGGACCATGGAAACAAACAGGAAATGTTTTAAGAGATCAAACTGAAGTTGATGTCGTACGAAGAATGATTCAACAAGATATTCCAATTACGGTTAGAATTGGTGTGTTACATTTTTTTCCAACAGGCAATCAACAAGGTAAGAAACTCATCATACGAGTGAATCTTCCCAACTTGAAATGTACTTTGGATTTGGAATTGTTTGCTTAAGGTAGATCTTAATGAGGTATTAAAAACCGTATAAAAATAAGTACCCTAGGGTCTTGCTTACACAGTCATGAATGTTTTACTCTAATTTTAGACAATAGCAGGACACGTACAAAAAAATTGCATAATGTTATTTTGATCTCAAGATTTACCTATGGATAGGCCCTCTTATAACTAAAATGTCCTGAAAATCTCAGCCGAAAAGAGCATTTCCTTCATGAGATATAGAATTTCCAAAAATTCTAAGATTCTCCAATATGAGTGATTTTTGAGAGTTCAATATCTTACGAAGAAAACATTCTACTTATAAATAGGCCTATCTATAGGCAAAATTTCAGGTCAAAATATTAGCAAACAATCCTTTTGTATATACTATACTATAAGCTAAAATTTCAGTGAAACGGCTATAGCTCTGTAGAGAAGGCATAGATGTCTTTATCATTTTGGAGTTTTCAAGATTTTTTGAGGGCTGTTTGGGACTTTTCTATAAACCTTGTTATATATTTCATTATCAAACGAAAGAGATTAGAGCTGATTCCTAAAAACTAGAGTACTGCAATCCGCGGATCGTGTATGAGTGTGAAACGTACCGATTTATAGTCATATAAATATCATTTTTAACAGTACAATTGATAAAAATTGAAAAAAAATATTTTTAATATTGCTTTTTATTAGTAATATCCTTAACCACATAATTAATTGACCATTCTCTTAAACTATCAGTAATGTGTTACAGTAATGAAACCTACGGTTAGTTTCTCGTACACAGGTACAGATAGGAAAAGTTGCATCCGTACAATCAGTGGTGTAGTCAGGGGTAGGGCCATTGGGCAATTGCCCATAGCTCCAAAAGTTATTGCCCATGGATTTATTGGGCTATGCAGTGCTTGAACAATTATTGCCCATAGATATTTCTGAAATCATAACGGTTGCCCTTAGCTGCCCGTAACTCAAAATAGTTCGGCTGATGAATTGCCCATGACTCAAAAATTCCTGGCTACGCCACTGCGTACAATACTCTAGTGAGAATTATGGTTCTCTTTTGATACAGTTAAAATTAAATATACGCTATTATTAGATAAACTCCCTGGATAAAATAAAGTCCAGTAACCTCTCATTTGGACATACCTTATATATCGAATCTGCACTCAAATATGATTTACAAGTTAGGGAGATTTTCTTGTTAGAAATCAATTCTATTTTTTAGGTCATGAGGATGAAATTCGTCAAGAAAATGCTATTTATAAGGAACTCGGTGTTACATCATTATGTTATTTTAATCCTTACGTATCAACATTATATAAAAAATTATTTGATGAATGTTTAGAAAATAATTATTTATTAAAAAATAGTTCTAATCAACCATATTTATTTCCATATTTTGGTGATATAATAAGTCGTCATTTTTATGTTGGTAGCATTGATTTTAGTAATAAAAATGCATCTCAATGGTATCAAAAACAAATTCAACAAAGTTGTGATCTTGGTTATAATGGATTTATGTTAGATTTTGGTGAATATACACCAGTAAATTCCATATCATCAAACGAAAAAACTGGTCATGAAATGCATAACCGTTTTATTGAACTTTATCAAAAAACAGTTTATGAAATGACATTAAACTCTACAACAATTGAACAATTACTTAATTTGAATTCAAATGAAAAAAACAATTTATCAATAAATTATCAATCAGATTTTTTATTTTATACTCGTAGTGGTTATACAAATAGTGCACAATATACTCAATTACATTGGACAGGTGATGCTAGTGCTGATTGGAATCCATATTCAGGTTTACCAGCTCATGTACAAGCTTGTCTTGGCATTGGAATTAGTGGTGTGCCATATTGTTCAAGTCCGATTGGTGGTTATGTTTGTGAATTTTATCCAGATTTAACAGTAGAATTATTGACACGTTGGTTACAAGTTGGAACATTTTCCGGTTTTATGCATGATGAAACTGAAGGTTCAGCATGTACTCAAGAACGTGTACAATTATTTACAAATAATCAAACTATATATGTTTGGCGAAAATATGCAAAATTACGAACACAACTTTTTCCATATATTTTTACATTAGCACATGAAGCACATGCAACAGGTCTTCCAATAACAAGACATCATTTATTGACATATTATAATGATGAAATAGCTATTCAACAAGAATATCAATACACATTTGGTAATGATTTGTTAGTTGCACCTATAGTAAATAAAAATCAATTTATACAAAATGTTTATTTACCATTTGGTGAGAGTTGGATTGATTTATCAACCAATCTTATTTATGATCAGGATACAGATGGTCGATATCGAATAGGAAGATCTGATATACTTCATGGTGGTCAATGGATAATGAATGTTAAAGCTGATCTATTAACAATTCCATTATTTGCTCGAGCTGGTTCAATAATTCCTCTTATTGATCCAAGTGTTTTTACATTAAATCCAGGTCAACCAATATCAATTTATGATCGATCATATATTTTACATTTATGGATTTTTCTTAATGAACAAAATGAAGCTCATGGTTTTGTTTGGGATGAATTAAATATTAGTATAAATACGTGCAATATGAATAAATCACTATGTATGAATATTGATGATCCTCTACATAGATTATTAATTTTACAATTACCATTTAATAAATCAGCAAGTTCAATATCATCTTCGAGTATGCAATCATTTGAACAAGTTAGTAACTGGCAAACAGTAGCAAAAATTCTACCTAGAGAACAATTAAAAAATTGTTTTACATATGATGAAGAAAATCAAGTTATATGGATAGCTATTGTTCTTGTACAACAGCAATCATCATTTCAATGTCAAATTAATTTTTAAAGAAATTTTTATTTTTATTATTTTATTTTATTATTTTATCTATAATGATGATTAGTTAAGCTAAAAATTTATTTCTGTAATAAATCATATTCGATAAACTTTTAATATCGTTAAAATAATTTAATATGACATTAGATGTCACTCTCTTGTTATCTATTTCATACAGGTTACATGAAAAAGTATGTTATTTGTTGATATTCTTTCGAAAATGATTCATGGTGGACATCACCAATCATTACTATATGTTACTGATAAGAAGTAAAAAACACTGAATAAAACTGTTAGCACACATCGGCAGGCCAGGGTCATTTTTTTGGTATGGCAAAATTATTAAAAAGTGTAAGGAACTTATAAAAAAATAGAACCTTAAATTTTGTTCATATATTTTGATTTTCATGCTAAGCTTCTACGGTAGGTATCGTGTTCATATTATATTTATTATTTTCATTCTTAAAAGTGACAAAAAAAAATATGACATCACAGACTTTTCATAAAAAAACTTCATCAATACAATTAAAATAACGGGTGATCGAAAATCATTTGGACGACATGTTTGTTCATTTTTGACCCACCTGAAAGTATTTCCGACGAGTCAAAATCTATGCGTTAGAATCAAAATTTTGTGCTCTTTCCAAATATGGGCTTAGAAATTTTTATGCCAGTTTCTGTTCGAGAGTAGTGAAACAATCTTTGAAAGGTCCAAAAACTTAGTTTGAACGGAAATTTTGTCCGCACATTTTTGTATTTTTACTATTGTCATTCGAAACAAAAAGATGGAACCTTCATTATTATACCAGCTTGTAGGACAAAATCTACCCTACAAAATGTACTGTGTGAGTATTTTTTTTTCTTTGGGCAAGACTTCTTAGTATTCGTTTTTCCTAAATCGTCATTTTTGAAAAATCGTTTTTTTTTTACCAAAAGCGTTTTATGTGGACAGTAGCTCTTGGAAAAATGCGTATAGTTTACCTTGGGTAAAAGCTACAGCTTAGTTCAATATCACATTTTGTAAAGAATTGTTTGCTCTACGAAACTACCGAATCCGAGAATTTTAAGCATCTTCACAAAGGAATTTGTATGGGTTAGCAAAACCTGTTTCTTCTCAGTTCAAACTAACTATTTAAACCTTTCAAAGGTCTCCTCACTTCTCTCGAACAAAAATAGACACAACTTGTTTCGACCCATGTCCAGAAAGAGCACAAAATTCTGGTCCTAACCCATATTTTTGACTCATCTGAAAATGCTTTTAAGCAAGCCAAAACAAATTAATATTTTGATCAGAAACTTCGATCCAAACGTTCTGTCCAAATTAATTTGTTGGATCTTTTAAAGATTATTTCACTACTCTCGAACAAAAATCGACATAAAATTTCTAAGCTCATATTCAGAAAGTTCTGATTCTAACGCATAGATTTTGACTCGTCGGAAATACTTCCTGGAGAGTCAAAAGTGAACAAACATCTTGTCCAAATAATTATCGATCACCCGTTATATCACTTCTAGAAAAAATAGGTAAATCGAGCGTATCTCAGGATACCTCTATGAACAAGCAGGAGTCATTTCTGGTCTAATTTTTTTACTGGCTTTCGATTAAAGATTGGATCGAAAAAAATAGTCGTACAGGAAAGCTCATAATGAATAAAAATTTTTGGTATGGCAACTGCCATACTTTGCCACCATGATGGCCCGCCACTGTGAGCACATATTTTTTTCGATTCGTTACAGTGCTCCTTGTTCTTCATCTTATTTCTTTTTGATCGAATAAAAGAAGGATTCTAAAATTATTCTTATTGTTTAGATTATTTTGAGAACATTATCCAATATGACATTTCATCAAGCTGAACATTCTCTCTTAGTGATTCCAGGGCCAATCGAGGTTACCGATGATGTCTTATTCGCCAATGCAACACCATCTCAATCACACATGTCAAAAAGTTTTACACAAACTTTTGGAGAAGCAATTAAAATGTTTCGACAAGTACTTCTTACTGAACGTGGTCAACCATTTATTTTATCTGGTAGTGGTACACTCGGTTGGGATATGGTTGCATCCAATTTGACTGAACCTGGAGATGAAGCACTCGTTTTACATTCCGGATATTTTGGTCAAAGTTTTGCTGATTGTTTAGAAGCATATGGTGCTAAAGTAACTCAACTAAAAGCACCCGTTGGACAATGTCCATCACGTGAAGAACTAGTTCAAGCATTAAAAGCAACGAAGTACAAGATAGTAACTGTTACACATGTTGATACATCAACTGGTGTACTTAGTAATCCTCGAATGGTGTCTGAAGTAGTACATGAAGTAAGTCCTGATACATTGGTAGTACTCGATGGAGTATGTTCAGTAGGTAGTGAAGAAATTCGTATGGACGAATGGTCATTAGATGTCGTGATGTGTGCTAGTCAAAAAGGTTTAGGTGTACCACCTGGACTTAGTCTAGTATGTGCTAGTGAAAGAGCTATTCATTTAGTTGAAGCACGTAAGACTAAAATAAATTCGTATTTTGCTTCGTGGCTAAATTGGTTACCTGGTAAATTTGAATAATTTTCTAACTAGTCTTATTAGAATTTCTAATTTATTATAGTAATGCGTGGTTATGAACAAGGTAAACCTGTGTATTTTGCAACACCACCTGTTCAACTTATATGTGCTCTTCATGTAAGTTTGAAAGAGATTACTTCAAAACCTATTGAAGAACGTTGGGCAAAACATAAACAAGCTAGTACCGATTTTAAACAATTTGTGACCGATGAACTTGGATTGAAACAAGTACATTTTAATTGCTCAGTGATATACTCATCATTTTTGTTCATTGTTTTATCTAGGTCCCTAATGATTCATCAATAGCTGCTAATGGAATGACAGCTATTTATTTTCCTAATGGTTTATCAGCATCGGACATCATTCCACGATTACTTGAACGTGGTATAGTTGTTGCTGGTGGCCTTCATAAAGAAATAAAAGATAAATATTTTCGTATTGGACATATGGGTATATCTGTTATTGATACAACAACTCGTCATGATCTTGAAAAAATTAAAGATGCTTTGAGAAATGTATTGAATGCAGCTGGCTATGTAAATAAAACCATAGATAAAGACACAAAATGATTAATAATTATTCTATCATTTCTTAGTGTATAATAGCAATGCTTCATTAAATTTATAATATTGTTCTCATTATTTTAAAGACATGATTTTTGTTTTTTCTTTTCGCTTTTTTTCCTTCCTTCAATATGTTCTTAAAACAGGCTATATTGTTCACATGTTTTATCAAAGATGAAGAATAGTTCGATTTATCTTGAGATAGAAGTATTTGATTTTAGAATAAAATGTTAAACAATAAACAAGGCATTTCTTAAATAGTTAATTATCGAAAAGAATTATACTAACAACAGTAAGTAAAATACCTAATAAATGAAAGAATTAGTATCATTCTAAAGAAATTTCGCCTAAAATTTTGATCGAGTTTGTCAATTTGTACCTGCTAAAATATAAAAATAGAGTAGATAATCCAACTTTGTTTTGTGCAACCGACTTTTCTAATCAGAAGTATATATTTTTAAGTTTATCTTAACAGAAAAAGGATTGAAAAATTTATACTATAAAATATCGATTGTGTTTGACAAAAAAAAAAAAACAAATTATCAGCTGATCGAAGATGTTCATCGTCAAGTTCCATTTGGTTCATGTAACCTGATGCTCTAAAAAATTGATAATAAATACGAGTTTAATAAATCCAACAAAAAATAAATTCTTTCAATAAGCTGATCAACGGAATCAACAGATATTTTGTAGATATAGAAAAAAAAGAAATCTTTTCAGATTCTATCCGGTATAACTATAAGCTACATGATTGCATATTAAAATGAACACTATGTATACTAGAAGAAAAGCTTATGAAATTTGTATCAAAGAATTATTCCAGTATCCCTCAAAAAGTTTCAACGACACATTTTTTTCATTACATTTGGATTTTATTTCAAGAGTAGAACATTCATTTTCTTATATAATTTGATAAAATTAACTTCATTTTGTTCACAAACTTTGAGAAAAATTTGATCAAATCAATAGAGATGACGCAGAAATTTTCATATATACTTAAAAACTTTGTAATAGATTCTACATAAAACTTCGCTATATGATAAGTAAAGCAATTAAAACAGTCCTTTTTTTGGTAAAGTGGTAAAATGTCGAAGGGAAAATGTCGAAAGTGAAAATGTCGAAAAAAAAATGCCGAAAGTAAAAATGTCGAAAGGTAGGATGTCGAACGAAAAAAATGTCGAAAGTTGTGAATGTAGAAAAACAAAATGTCGAAAGTGAAAATGTCGAAAGCGAAAATGTCGAAAACACTAATAGCATATATTTAGTCATCTCTTTTATTGACAAGAATTTTAGCAAATAAAGCACAAGTCAAAAACTATTCCAAAAAAAGAGAGATGAAGAAACATTATATGAATAGATTAAGATAACAAAATTTGACAATAAGGATAACTATTTTAAGAGAAAAAGAGACAATGAATAAATTAAGAAACAGAACTTGGCAGTTGAATATAATATTGAAAAAGCTATTTTCAATTCATTTTTTTTGTTCATATCTTTTGCGACGACCATCGACAAACCTTTCGAGGTGTTCATTCAAATCAATTTCATTATTTGAAAAATGTCTGCATAAGACATCAAGACGTTTTTCACAACACCAATATTTGACCTTGGGACATGACTTGTTTAACTGATATACAAACCCATCACAAATAATCACACGTTTGCCTTCGTTACTTTGTGAAAAAGTTATGATAGATGTAGTACTCATGTTGACATAAGCAAAGAATATAGAAAACAACTTGATAAATGTCTGTAGAAATGGACGCAAGCTGCTATATATATATATGCAATTCAATAATTAATCAATATCGTTAGATTCGCTTAGCGAGACAATGCATCGTCAGTTGATAGAAATTTGTTTGAAGACGTCATGGACGTCTCTTTATTTCATTTTTCTCTTTTCGCCATTTTTTCTTTCGACGTTTTATTTTTCGTCAATACGCTTTTCGCCATTTTTACCTTTCGACATTTTCATTTTCGCCATTTTTCTTTCGACATTTTCACTTTCGACATTTTTTTTTTCTACAATCTGCTTTTCTACGTCCTGTTTTTCTACATTTTGTCTTTCGACGTTTTCTCTTTCGACATTTAACCACCTATTCCTTTTTTTTTATGTTCTAAAATTTGACATCATGACATACCCAAATTGGATCGACATTCTTTTATCTGTCAATATAACAGTAATATGTCTATATTATGCCAGTAATAGTCAATGGGTCATTAATTTTAATTCTAGTTATATATTGACGCTTTCAAGTAAGTACGATCGAGTATAAGATTGTTTTTGATTTAAAAAATATTAATAATTAAGAAAGCTGTTAGTACAATTCTTACACGATTGAAATGTGAAACATGATGTAGTTACTATTGTCAATCACGAATAGATTGTTTTATTTTATCCATCTGGACACACATTTCTTCGCTATACTTCTACTTAATTCTCAAAAAATGCGATAAGACAGCTGTTCATATATTATCACTAGACGTTATTGATATACTGTCTTTCATCATATATCAATAACATTTGCCACAATTTGTGTCGAAAGAGAGACGTTGTTAAGGATATCTATCACGTCTGTTGCGGATGGGGGAGAGAGGAGAGCAAATGTTTACTCCTCTACTTCAACACTCGCTTTAGACCGTGTTTCACAAAACAATGAAGTTAATATATCAGTTATAAGTTTATAATGTGTTCTGTAATTTTTCTCATTTTAATAATACTTGCATATGATTATGGTATGGCTTGTAAAGTTACATGAAACATATAATTGTTACCAATCGAACTAAACGTTTTTGGGAAGTTATCAAGAGAATTATTTTGGCTACTAATTTCATTTTTGATAACACTATATTTTCATTAGTTAATAGCTAATGAGAGTCCTAATGATATTATATTGAATGGAATCGATTCTATTACTTGTTATTGGATACACATTGCGATGCATTTCATTGACTACTAGTTCAACAATGTCATCATTTCTAGCGCCAAGCGATACTGCTTGTGATATAATTAGTCGACCATTTTTTATTTTCATGTGGAACTTTCTACAAATATACTTTCTGATACTATTATACAACTGTCACACAGTCGTTCTTATCTTTCTCTTTTGACAGTTTCTTTAAATGATTTATTGATAGCACGAAATGCTATAATTTTGAAAACATATTGTTGTATACGTGCTTCCATGTAATGACCTGATACAGCTTGACTTTACATAGTCATGAGATGAAGTTTGTCAAATAAAGTGCGTCCTTATACTAATAACATATAGATTGGCTTGAGTACATCTCTAATACCAGGATCAGATAATTTGTTTAGCAATATCATAACATTAGATGATGGCTATTGTAGTACAAGGTTATTATCAGTTTTTACTCATTCTCTTATAACATACACAGTTTTAACAGATTATTATTGAGTTGTGAATATCTGACTCAAAAAAAAAATATTCCTAAATAATTCAGAGACAATGTGCATAATATTTAAAATTCAATTACCAGTAACCAAACTTAGATGAGCTATCTTTAAAAATTTCATCAATTATGACAACAACAAAAAACTTCATTTTTAGTATTATTTTATTTTGAAATGTTGCTGTCTGTTAATTAATTATTTTCGTATAAAAGTTTTATATTATCATTATAGCAATCATTTAATAACGGCCTATTCACATAGTTAAGGTTAGGTAGCACATAGTTATTTATGACTTGCAATCATTTATAAAACTCGTTCAAATATACAGTGACATGATTTTCAACATAGTCTCAATTTATTCATCTATGAAATAATATAATCTAAAAGCATATGTCAACACTTAAGATATATCGCTACATCAATTTTGATTATATTCTAGAATACAACACAAGAATCGTACAATGCTATTTGTGCTAGTAAAAGTTAACTAGACCTATCATAAAAATAATATAAAATAGAAAAAGAAAAAGAAAAAAAAAACTATACTTTTGAACTATAGAAAACACCAAAAGAATTAGTATGTCTTTCTCTTTCAAATATATCGAGTCCCGAACGACACAAGTAAAAACAAGAAAACAACAAACTTGCATGTCTATATAGTGTCATCCAGTAGAAGAATAAGCAACACTTTTATTACAACGAAACTGCGCATAATATAAACGTACAGTATCATATCTAGAGCCTGCTAATAGGTGTCGGAATATTTCTAAACGATTAACGTAAAGAGTATGAACTTTTCCTTTTTATCTTTGTCAATCTCTCTACTAATTTAGATACTGGGTTAAATCTATTTAATCGAAAACTATGGAAAATGAAAACGGTAGGTATCATAACGTATGTGCTGTGTTTATTTACACGCTTAGTTTTGTTTTTTGTATAGACACTAGTACATCTGCTTCATTACCTCCCCTCGATGAAGTCAATAGTACAAAATTAAGCAACCTTTACTCCTCGATAGCTTTGCCAGGTTCAGCATCGGGTGGTGATCCTCAAAGCATCAACTTTGATAATGTTAACTGTGATGTTCGATGAACATCATTTATTCTTATTGATAAATATGTGCTTGTCTATGAGAAAAAGCCAAAAATATTAAAACAATGCTGTATAAGTTGCTTGTTTGTAGATTTATTTTTTTCTTTAGAATGTAATCAGTCTTGTTAATTATATTGCAACCATTTAGTTCAAAGCAATAAAAAGAAGCTAAAAGCATTTTTGCAAAACTCTACGACTGTATAGAAAGTTTTTATATTTCTTATCATTATATATGTATCTTAACTATAATCGTATATCGTTGTATATAACATACTTTGTATAGAAACTATCTATTAATATAAACATTTTACAAGAAATGGATGATAGAATACTAAGACAGAAAATTTCATCATGTTTAGGCAAGCTTGATCCATACTTTTATCTATAAATCGTTGCTATATTATAGACTGTTCATGTGTTGAAAAAACAAAGAAAATTGGTGTACTTGTTGCTCTAACAATCTGATTCATCTTTGTAGTTATTGATGTGTTTACATAAATTTTTTGATAACATGGCTTATCGAAATTCATACAAAACAGAGAAAAAATC